TACACCAAAAATAATCAAATTATCACAGTGCGATCCTACCTAGGAGTTGGAGCCTCTAGGAAAGCAACATTAGTAGGCCGGTGCTATGTGCGAAAACTTCGTGAATCCTAAGGGCTCAAGCTGCCCCACTAAGGGCTCAAGATGGCCCACAGACGGACAACATGCATGAAACATACGTGCGCACACACATCAGTACACGTACACACACATATATATATATATATATATAGCAGCAGCAATAGTGGATGTTGTGCTGCGCTATGCTATGCTCTGCTCTGCTATGCTATGCTATGCTATTTTATGCTATGCTATGCTGCGCAATGTTATGCTGGGCTAGGCTATGCTATGCTATGCTATGCTATGCTGCGCTACGCTATGCTGCGCTATGCTATGCTATGCTACGCTATGCTATGCTATGTTGTTGCTTTGCCTTCGCTTTTGCCTTCACTTTTGCCTTTGCTTTTGCTTTTGCTTGGCACCAGAGCGCAACTGGGGGAACCGCGCGTTTGCTTTTACCTTGGCTGTTGCTTTTGCTTGGCTCCCAGGGGACTGGGGGAACCGCCCGGGGCGGTTTCCACTGCCCGGCCCCTTTAAGCCAACAGAGTAAGAACCCTTCTAGGCAGAGCCTAGGTAAGGAAAAAATAGTCCAAAAATAGTCCAGGGACTACTTTTTTTGTTTTTTGATACCTTTTTGGTGTATTTTTTGGATATTTGGTATTTTTCCTCGAAAATCCCCCTGTGGGGGGACAGGCCCGACATAAAACTTGCGACGTTCAACCTTGAACGCCCGCGTTGGGGTCGCCGCCGCGCCGGCACGACACGAAACTGCTGCAGATTTCCCTGGGGACTGCTCCTGGCACGATCCTTCCTGCATGGATCGCTCAGACCCGGGCGAGCAAGTCCATGCCTCGGAGAGCCACAGACACCAATTGGCACGTGACTGAATGCTCCTCTTCCTCACCTCCTCAGTGTCACTCCGCCTGCTTTGTCTGTTCTTTATCATCCCCATCCTCCGCCATCCCTCTCCTTCTTGTCTGCCACCTCCTCACGTCCCCCTCGGTGGAGGAGGGAAATGGCTACATATACGGATGCGGATGCATGACTATCTTGGGTGCAAGCACCCAAGCTGACATGAATCACATGACGAGGAGTAGACAGAGGAAGAAGCCGCGGAGCAGCAGCAGCATGTCAAAGACGATGATGATGACAGTGTCTGGCAAGCCCGCCCCGAGAGAGGCCGTGATCATGAACTGGTTGTCCGCTGGCAAACAGCCAAATGGCATGGTGATCCGGCTGCAGGGTTTCGACAAGGGAGTCTTCGGTGGCAATTTCCACACCCATAACAGGCCATCTTGCTTTTCCTCCTCCCTCCTTCGCCTGCAGGATGGGGGGACGAGGAGGAAGGGGAGGGTGAGTGAGGCTGAGGGAGATTTGGCGGAGGAAAATGGACACCGGGAGGAGTCAGGGACGGCGGAGGAAGGAGGAGCAGGGCACAGGATCAGGGGATGGAGCAGGAACGATGAGGAGAGGGAGGGAAGCGGAGAGTGAGAGGGGGGCGGATGTTGCCATGAGTGCATGTGCTGTGCCACGAGAGGCCCAGGGGGCCCGACGCCAGCACGACAGAGCTCACCAAAGGAACACTCTTCAGGGAAGCACGGGAAGCAGATCCCCTTGCCTTCCAATTGCGACCGTCGCGTGCGTCTTCGAGAGGGAGGATGGGAAGGGGGGAGAGGGAAGGGCGGGGGATGGGCGGAATCCCAGACCCCCGACGTCATTTTGATTCATGACGTCGATACCCAGGGGTCTCGACCCATTCTTCGGGACCGGTTTTCTGTTCCCGCACTGGCACCACTAAATCCACGTTTTCTGCGCCTGCAGCCTCTGCCTCGGCCCTTTCGTGTGGCCGCGATGCCGCTCCGCGTCGACTGCCAGACTGCCTCAGCACAGGCTGGCCGCACTGGTCACTCCCGACGGAGGTTTTAGTGCATTGGGTGCCCTTCCTGCTCCCAGCTCCCGCGGCCGTCTTGCAGCCGGACAGTTCGTTCGTCCGCTCCCGACGTACTAGAGCGCGCGTGCGGATCGCCTCTGCCGCGCTGCGACGTCATAGTGGTCTGGCGGCCCTGCGGCCTGGAGAGCGCCTCCAGAGGTTGAGAGTGAAGAAAAACTGGGCACCGTGACTGGTTCATGACTCGAGCGGGTCTGGGATGGACGAGATGGGGCTTTGGGAGGGCGACGGGGGGCCCAGGCGGTCCGGGATCTTGGGCGCCTGGAGGAAACCGACGCACTACCTGCACCAACACCAACACCGGCAACAGCAGCCACGCTTACGCCAACAGGCAAGCCCCGTGTCCGACCGAAGGCGACCAGAACGCCCAAGCGCGCCACGGGCACGCTTACAGCTGCCATCGAACCATCTGCCAAGGAAGCGACCATCACACCAAACGCTACATGGTATCCAGGATGTCCAGGCTGCCGCGGCAATCGCGTCCATCTGGGTCCACGTCGCATCAAGATCCCATGGAAGCGCGCCATCCGTCCAAGAGTCGAATCACCACGCGTGCTCTTTTCCAAGATGCACACGAGATCTGCCACGAGATACTACGCACCTTGACCACGCCATGCGGCGTTTTCGACATCCCGTCGCAGGGATCCTTGGATCACAATCGGGTCCTAATTCCGATGGGCCGCCTCCGGGCCGAAGCCCCGTCGACGACCCGGCACCGCCAGTTCCAATCCGCGACGATTTTTTTGATGGCGACGAACCACCACAGTCGCCTGACCCATCAACGCCCTGAGTTTCCACAGCTCCTCGGCCGCAGCCGCGAGTCGTGGACGCGGCGACGGGTCATGTGCCAGAAGATTGGACCAGTTTCGACGTCAGTCCGAACTTGATCACGTATGTTGCGGACCCGGGATGTCTCGAAAGTGCCTCGCGGTTTCCGTAAACTGCATGTTCCTTTGTCGCATGTTCCACGGACTCAGATGTAGCAAGTATTTCCAGCAGCTCCGTGCCCGAGTACAGTCGTCCAACTCATCGCCGGCGTGGTAGACACACGCCGCGTCCCGATCAGGAAGTCGAAGGGGGCACCCTCTTCTACCGCCAATACCCGATCTCGCCCATGATCGCTAGAGCCGAACGACGGGTCGCAGAACATCTATTCGAATGTGACACCAGCGAAGCTGGACACCGCCTTTCAGCGAGCTAATGCTCTGCCATCCTAGCATGTTGAATCTCGATTTTCGGATCATGCAGGAAACGGATAGTGGAAGGCGAAGGTGGTATCCTGGGTGCCGCAGCGAAGCCATTCTTCGATCGACGCGGCATCGTGGTCCAAGTACGAGCCCCCGACCAGCGCGCCCAGATGATTGCGCGACCCAGCACAATCCTGCGACGTGCCGTGCTCAGCATTGAAGAGCAACTTCGGCGCGAAGGACTGAGAGTCAGCCTGCCCGACCTATGAACTATCGGAGGGAGGCAACGTTTGCGGGCAACTGTCTCATACCCCATGAAGGCGCAACGCCTTCTAACGCGCGATTCGGACGGCAGGCGCGGACGTTGTCGGACACGTTGGCCCTCCCGGATGACGCAGCACGCGCCGCCCGCATCTCAGGCCGGCTAAGAGATCGCATTGCAACGAATCGCACAAGCCTCGGCCATCTCCCGCATCAGCCGAGCCAGCGCAACAGTTGCAGTCCAGACACTGAACTACAAGACAGGTAAGTTGGTCGACTTCAACCGAGCTCCATCCACCAACTATGCGAGCGCGCGGAGCGGTACAGCCGCAGTCGTCCAGATGAGTGCCCAACAAGGCACCGCGACCATCAGCCACCGAGGCGCCAAACAGATGCCGCTTCGGAGATGCGCGACGGTTTATGGACTTTGGTGGATGTGTAGACGGGGCTACGAGCCAAACTGCTACACCCCACTGTCAGACGTGGACGAACGTAGAACAGTACATCCTAATCCTCTCGGCTAAGACCCTTCAACGCTTTGGCCTTTACGACGCCGGCATGGCCGCCGCCGTCGCCGCCAACGAGCGATCCGCGGCCCTGGCCATGAGCTTCGAGTGCTTATCCGAAAACGTCTTCAATCTCGACAGCGTCGCAGCCGTCCAAGTCGGCCGCGGCGGCGAGCGCATCGTGGCCAAAGACAGTCGAGACGGCTTGCTCTTGGAAGAGTGTTCCTGGACGCCGATGAACGCGGCGTCCTGGCCCGGATTCGGTCCGAATCTGTTGGCCGAGTTCAACGGCGCATCGCTTGGCATCCCGTCGTCCAAGAGCCGTCCGCCTGGCCGTGAGCGGCCGGCGGGGCCGTCGCCGCGCGCAGCGCGCCCCCCTTCACCTTCGGGTGAGCGCGCGCCGCGCGCTCCGCCTCATCGCCCCCGCTCGCAGTTCGTCGCCCCTGCCCGCAGTTCGAGCCGGAGACCGACTTTGCGCTGGTCAATTCCACGCCCGCTCTAAACCGGGACGGGGGCCAAGGCGCCCTTCGGCTCCCGAGGGGGCGCCGCGGCGGCAGCCGGCAAGGACGAGAGCAAGGACAGGAACGAACCCATCATGAGAAAACGCCGCTGACCTCCGCAAGAAGAAGAGTTATAATAATGCGACGAATGCCCGCAGGGCTGGGCGGACAGTCAAACGTCGGCGCGCTGGCGCAGCCATCGGCGCGGCTGGCGCCCACGAGCCACAGCTGCCGCCCTCGCCCAGGGGCGGTGCCGGGCCGGCACGCCCAGCGAGGAGGTCGCCCTCGGTGGTCGCGATCGGAGCGTGTTCGACGGATCGTGAGGCGATCGCGCCAAAATAGTGCTCGCATCCCTCAAGGTCTATCTCCATCCATCACCCTCTCTACCATCTACCAGGCCCAGGCGCTGCACCTCCGCCTCACAACTCGCGTGGCCCGGGGCCAACAATCTTGCATAAGTCGCAGGACAGGCTTTCAGGCGTTGCGTCTGCGGCCCGAGGCCACCCGCATCACGGAATGCGTCACATGGCAGCTCACACCATCATCACTCACGCGCGCGAGCTACTCACGTGCCGCTCTCAAGAGCACGAGCAAGCGCACGGGCACAGTGGATGAGCTCGCGCCCTCGCGCGCGCGCGCCCGTCGACGATGTCTCCTTGCCGAATCTAGAATGTGTGTGCGGTGTCTTCTTCCTTTGGTTTCTCTTCTCCGCCTGAGCTGTTCGACCGCCCGCACAATCCCGACTCAAATACGACATGCCGCCGCCGTGTGGCCCGATCATCGACGCGTATTTGGTAGTGCACGATGCGTAAAGGCCCCGCCGCCTACATCTGATTGCCGCCACCCCCCGCAATTATATTTCCTCCTCCTCATCCTGTCCTACCTGTGGTAGTGCTGGTGGAACAGATCGGCCCATCAAATTTGGCCGCGGGGCTGCGTCCGCTCATCAGGTCTGGGGCCCCAGGCTGCCTCCTCGCCCTGCGCCTCCGTCGCCCCCTCTCGCCGCCTCGGCGGCGAGGTGGGGCGCAGCCCGCCGCTGGGAGCCCATGGCTCAGGTGGGAAAACCAAGCAAGAACCTACGGGAAAATATGGTAAGTGGACGTGAGTGAAGGGGGAAAACGGAAATCCAGAACATATGGAAGCACACATGGGGAAATGTGGGAGTTGTGTCTACATGTGTGTGTCCCTGGGCCCGTCTGACGGTGGGCGCTGGAGGTGTGCCGCGCATGCTGGCGCAGGGCATCCTCGGACCACCAACTCGTGGATTGTTCATGGCGCCCGTGGCTCACGGTGCCCCCGGCTCGTCGGTCCACTTTGTAGCCCCTCGGGCCTCTCGACCTCGTGAGCCTCCTTGGAAATGATCCGTGGGGCGCGCTTTTGGCAACCCCCGACCACAGCAGAGAGCGTTCGCGCCCATGAGGGTTGCCCAGGACATCGCAAATCGGCGGCGAGCGAGGGGGGGGAAGCCTTCTCACAAGGCGGTGGGACTTCTCAGAAACCCTCCAGCCTTCTGACATTGTCTTGGTGTCTTCTGGGGAGGCTTAAGGCAACCTGGGGGCCTTCTGAGACGGCCCACGCCCTCTCGCCCCCCCCGCGGGCGCGCCGCCGAGAAAGGCATTGGCGAATGTGTGAGCGGAGGAGGAGGAGGGGGGAGGGGCCCCTCCTTCTCTCCCCCCTCCCCATGGCATCGCTCGGGCGTGTGCGTTTGTTTTTCCTTGGCGAGAACCATCGAGGACCATCCTGGACCATCGAGCAAAAAAAACACGCACGAAACCGAAAAATGCACGGGAATGGACGTCCGAGCGACGGCAAGTCCCTTTCCTCCCACTGAGTCCGCGACCCCGGCACCTGTCCAACTGGGGTCGAGCGCACCGCCGGGGTCGAGTCGGAGCAGGTGTCCACTGGGGTCGAGCGCACCGGCCGGCCGTCCACCCTGCGCCACCGATGGGGGTGCGCCCAACCAACTGTTTTTCTCAGTACCTCCTCCTCCTCCTCCTCCTCCTCCTCCTCCTCCTCCTCCTCCTCCTCCTCCTCCTCCTCCTCACCTCATCGCCGCCCCTCCCTCCTGCTCCTCCTCTCCTCCTCCTCCTCCTCCTCCTCCTCCTCCTCCTCCTTCCTCCTCCTCTCCTCCTCCTCCTCCTCCTCCTCCTCCTCCTCCTCCCTCCTCCTTCTCCCCTTCTCCTCCTCCTCCTTCTCCTCCTCCTCCTTCTCCTCCTCCTCTGCACGTCCTCGCCCCTGACTCCTCCAAGTCCCCTCCCCGCCCCCCCCCCCCCTCCCCTTCCTCCCCCCCAGATTCGCCCCGCCCGCCCGCCCCCATCGCAGCCTGCACCTGCCTCCGGGGCTGGACGTCGTGGCGTACTCCAACGGCGCCGACTACGCCCGGGGCCTCCGCTACGCCGTCGAGCAGGACGCCTAGGGCGGATAGGAGAAGGAGAAGGATGAAAGGTAAGGAGGAGGAGGAGGAGGAGGAGGAGGAGGAGGAGGAGGAGGAGGGGGCGGAAGCGCTGATTTGGCGTGAATCAGCGTCGGTGTAGCGTCGGCTTGCGTCGATTTAGCGTCGATTGAGCGTCGATTTGGCGTCGGTGTAGCGTCGATGGGCGTCGATTCGCAAGAGCCAACAAGACGGCACGGGAGGTTCCCATGAGTTGCCTTTGAAGGGGGGAAAAGGAGAAGCGAAACCACCACCACCACAACCACCACCACAACCACCACCACCACCGCCACCACCTCCAGCGAGGCCCTTTCAAGCGAGGAGGTGCCCGCATTGGGGACAGGGGACAGGGGATGTCTCGAGAGGCGGGGGGGGGGGGGGGGGGGCACACCAGCAGGGGGACCCCCCCGCCCTATGGCTCCTCCCGGCAGTGGGCCCTGGTGGCGGTGGTGCTTGTACTCCTGGGCTCTCACTCTTGTTCCGAGGGAGCAGGGCCGCTGCGCCCCAGTGGCGGTCTGGCCAGCTCGCCGCCCGTCGCCGCTGGGCCCCGGTGGCGGTCTGGATGGCTCGTCGCCGCCCGTCGCCGCCGTGCGTGCGACCGCTGTGGCGCGACTTCCACTGCACCGCATCGGTTGCATTGCGGAGATTTCCCCGCATGGACTGCATCTGCATGGGTTACACTGCGTAGATTTTCCTTTCAAAAAAGACTGAATCTACCCCCCCCCCCGCGTTATTCCCCCCTTTCGGGTATGTAAACCATGTATGATTCTGACCACATTTCCATCCTAAATATGAATTTACACTATCCCAGGGGGGCCGGTATCGGCCCCCCTGCATCCGCATGGATTGCGTCTGCATGGGTTGCGTGGCGTAGATTGCACTGCGTAGACTGCACCGCACGTGTCACATTGCAGAGTCTGCCGGAGCACGCCGCGTGGGGCCCACGCTGGCGAACAGTGGCGAGGGAGCGCCGGCCAGTGCCAAGGGGGGGGGGGGGGTTTGGGCCACCTCCACCTGGGAAGCGACGGTGGAGTGGCACAGGCGAGCCTGCTTTCGCAGGTCGGCCCTGCCAAATCGAGGGTACCCTTGTTTCCTGAGCTTCGCGACCCATGCCTTCTTGCATTCCTGTGGCAATCTGGCCCTCGGGAGGGTCTTGTGTCCTCTCGCGTGTCCCCTCTCCAGTCAACCCCGCCTGTAGGGAGGACGAGGATCGAACAGGTGTTGGACGTTTGGGGGAGGGTGTGTTCGGGAGTGCTGGGGGGCCCACACGGGTCCGCTTCGTCGGGGAGGCACGCCCTTCATTCATCGCCTGGGAGGATCGCCACGCGTCGGCGGGCACGCAACGGGGGGGGGGGGGAAGACGCGAAAGGGGGCCTGCCTTCTGAGAAGCAGGCCATCGCAAACAGGGGTCCAGGGGGCGTGGATTGGCGACGGTTCCGTTTCCCTGGGAAGTCGCGGGCTCCCGCCGCCGAACGCGGCGGCACCGGCCACACTTGGGGGAGGGCACCTCCCCCGATCCATGGCTGTGGCGACCGCGCGCCACATTCAGGAGGGAAAAAAACACAGACACAATTAATCGTCGATCCCCCAGAAAAGATGGGAAAATATCGGAAGTGGGGGGGAAGACAAAAACCCAGAAAATATAGGAAAATATAGAGGATCCTGTTATTTGTGTGTATTTCTTTGTGTGTCCTGGGGCCCCTTCACAGCTCCACGGCTCGCTGGGCAACAGATTCGGTATGTGTGCGGACCACTGCGGAGGCAAGTTCGCTTCCCCGACTTGGGATGCCACCGGGTAGGAGCCCGGATTTGACCAGATCACCAGAGGGCATAGGGTGAGGAGGGGGCAGTGGACAGAGAAGGCGATATAGAGGTGGAGCATCGACCGGTGTTCCTCACTAAGCACCTCAATATCATTTCTGTCCTCCGCCCGCCGCTTTAGTCCGCGTGGCAGGCTTCTCGCATCGGCCAGACCCCGCTCCCTTAGGGGTTGAGGTGTGTGAGCCCGACCCACGGCCTAAGGGTACATCCGTGACAATCCTCGTCCCCTCCTCCCCCCTCCTCCCCCCCTCCTCCCCCCTAGCTCACCCCTCCTTCCCCGTTTCGGCGCGTTCGAGAGGCCTCCCCGAGCCGCCCGTCCGCGCGCTGCGGCGGGCGCCGCGCGCGCATCTTGGCGCATTTTGGATCCCCCTCCTCCTCCCCCTCCCCCTTCCTCCCCCCTCCTCCCCCCTCCTCCCTCCTCCTCCCCCCCTCCTCCCCCCCTCCTCCCCCCTAGCTCACCCCTCCTTCCCCGTTTCGGAGCGTTCGAGAGGCCTCCCCGAGCCGCCCGTCCGCGCGCGGCGGCGGGCGCCGCGCGCGCATCTTGGCGCGTCTTCGGAGGCGGATCGCAGGGCGAGCCGTCTCCCGGCGCAGTGCCGGGGTTCGCGCTCGGGGCGTGGAGGCCGGGGGCGCCCGAGGCCGGGGGCTCCGGAGCCGCAGGGAGCTCGGAGTGGGCAGGGCGGGCCCCTCGGTCTTCAGGAGCTCCGAGGAAACAGCACACAGACACAATCCATCGTCGATTCCCCCGGGAATATGGGAAACTATGGGAAGTGGGGGTGGGAAGACAAAAACCCCGCAAATATGGGGAAATATGGGGATTTGTTCTATTTGCGTGTATTTATCTGTGTGTCCTGGGGCCCCTTCAATTCTCCATCGTCCCTGAGCCTGGTACGGACAACGTTCCTGCCAGGCGTCGCCTGCGTTCTCACGCCGTGTCGCCACTTGGCTATGGTGCCGTGGCGACCTCGATGTCGGAGGGGTCGGCGTCGAGCGAAAAATATGTTCGACTTTGTCCTGGTCCGGTTTCTCGGCGGCAAGCGAGGGGGGGAAGTGAGAAGGAGAAGGCCTTCACAGAAGGTTCGGAAGCCCCCTGGCCTTCCGAGAAGTTTTGTAAAACTTCCCTGGATACACAAACATCTCAGAAGGCGCGAGGGCGTCTGAGAGGTCCCGCCGCCTTCTGAGCATGCCTCAGTTCCCCCCCTCGCTCGCCGACGAGTTTTGTCCTCGCCCTTGCTTCGTCTTAGGGCGGGGGGGGGCCGAGGGCGCCGTGCTTTGAGGTGGGAGCCACTGGAAAAGGAGGAGGACGAGGGCGAGAACGAGAACGAGAGCAGGAGGAGAAGGAGGAGGAGGAGGACGAGGGCGAGGACGAGAACGAGAGCAGGAGGAGAAGGCGGAGGAGGAGGAGGGCGAGGATGAGGACGAGAGCAGGAGGAGGAGGAGGAGGAGGAGGAGGAGGAGGAGGAGGACAGGGAGGAGGAGCAGGAGGAGGAGGACGAGGGCGAGGACGAGGACGAGAGGAGGAGGAGGAGGAGGAGGAGGAGGAGGAGGAGGAGGAGGAGGAGGAGGATTAGGAAGAGGAGGAGGAAGAGGAGGAGGAGGACGAGGGCGAGTCGCCACGGGAGAAGCGGGTCTTGAGGGGAACGGGTGTTGAGATTGTTCGTCAGTTTTGGGCTCATGGGGCCCTCCATGGGTCCCGGGACCGTCATAGAACGATTCGGGATGAAAAATTCGTCCTGGATGAAGGCCCCAGGATCCAGGACCCGTTTCCCACAGGTGTTTTTTCCCCTGTGCCTGAGGAGGGGGAGGGGGGAGCCAGGAGGGAGGAGGAGGAGGATCACTGGCAGCAGCAGGGTGCGGGGCGGGCGCGCGACAGCGGAGCCGTTCACACGCCTGCTTCCTGGTGCACCCGCCTTCCTTCTGCCTCTCCTTTCTTCCGTGCCCTGCCCTCCTCCTCCCCCTCCTCCTCCTCCTCCTCCTCAGTATCCTCCTCCTCCTCCTCCTCCCTCCTCCTCCTCCTCCTCCTCCTCCTCAGTATCCTCGTCCTTGTGATGGCGTTCGTCCTCCTCTCCCGCGTTTTCGTCTCTCTCGTGCTCCTGGCTGAGGGCCTCCAGGTGGGCTCGTTTGGTGTTGTGGGACCCGTTCCAGAGCATGCCTTGTTGATATTGGAAACAGAAGCCGTCGTGGCCATCGGTTTCAGTTTCCGAGCCGCCGCTTTTGCTTTGCGCAGGCAGGGAGAAAGGGACATTTTCGGGTTCTGAGGCCCCGAGAGGCTCTTCCCTCCGGGACAGGAGGAGGAACGCAGGAGCTTCAGAAGATTATGACACTTTTCCCGAGGCGCGCGTGAACAAGAACCCTTCCTCCCTCTCTGCCGCTCACGTCCTCCTGCGCCACGCACCGACGAGGGATAGCTTTCGGCAGTCTCCTGGCGCCCTGCCGCGTGGCTGGTCCAAGGTGCTTCTCGCCTTCGCTCTTCTCGCTCCTCCGCCCAGCTTCCCGGGACGGGGAGGTGGATGAGGGGAAGCGGGGAGAACCACAATACAAGCAAGAAGGGAGGAGAGATGAGGCTTGACGGACGACAGGGGAGCGAGGAGAGAAGACGCGACAGGAGGAGTCGATGGCGAAGGCGTAGGCTCGGGGATGGGGACGCGCATGTTTGAACATTCTTGGAAGTGGCTCCCTCGCGTGAGCCTTTTGTTGCAGTGACCTTTGCGGTGTGCGCACGTGTGCGTGCGCGTGTGTGTGTGTGTGTGTGTGTGTGTGTGTGTGTGTGTGTGTGTGTGTGTGTGTGTGTGTGATCCAACATCTCCACGCCGCGTGCTCCGGGCTGGCCGCTCGCGTCTCTTGGCCCGATGTTGCAAGCAGTAACGAAGCGTCCTGGCGCCCCTATAGCCCTACCAAACAATGTTCTAAGAGCCTTGTGTGATGTCCACGAAATGTTCTTAGAACATTTCTGGCTGGGACTGTCTTGGCTTAACACATCGGGTTACTGTTCGAAGAACATTGTTTTTGTTCTTAGAACATTTTTGGGTTCTAAAACTTTCGTGGTAGGACTATAGGAATGCCGGAACGGTCGGTCCTTGCTCATATGTTCTGCGGCGCGACGCTGCGCGCATGGCCGCGACGCCAAAACGTATGTGTGTGTGTGTGATTTCACTGTGCCGTGTCTCTCTTCACCTTCTGGGGCGGTTCGATTACGCGGGGGGCACTTATGCTATCGCGGGCAGCGGGGGAACCTTTGGCAGACGACCTCTCCTGCGGGCCAGGCGGCGGCTGGCAGGGTTGTGATGAGCGTGGACTCGACGGACCTGTTAAACAGGAGGCACCTCTTCGACAAGGACGACGCGTGGCTGAGACCGTACCCGCAGGACGTGCGGGGGCGGGGCGCAGTGGTCTGGCGGGGCACAGCTGGTGGCGTGACGGGGGCCGAAGTGGAGCAATGCCGAGCGAGCACGGCCACAACGCAGCCGGGCTGGTTGGTGTTTGCTGTCCTCTGTGCTTCGTTCTGCCGAGCAGCAGTGCGAAGCGCAGCTCTCGTGAGCAGAAAACGCGTGGCAAAACCAAACGTGCACATCGGGCGCGTGGGCCTTAACAACGGGCTGGCCCAGGCGGCCAGGTCGACCAGGCGTGTTGCGAAAGCGTGCGTCCCGTATGAATCGCGAGGAGAGCTCGAGCGATCGCGCGATCCCCAAGTAAATCGTCACGAAATCCACAACGAGAGCGCGATTCGAGAGTGTCGGGGGCGCGGCGCCTGAATATATTCAGAGGGCGTCCCACGCGAGAGCGCGATCCCTGTATACATTGTGAGGAAGTCCCGCGACAGAGCGCGATTTGGGAATAACTGGTGAGGAAGTATCATTCGGGAACCGCTGTTGCTGTAAGCCGGGAGCCTGGGGCACAGTTTGGTGACCCTTCGTTTTCCATTGTAAAATACAGGGTGCGAGCCCAGGGATAAGCACTTGCTTTGAAGCGTTCAATGGTGAGGGGGTATGGGGGACCGACATTTTTAAATGAGAGCACGAAGAAGCAACATCAACAACATAAACAAAAACAGCAACGACAACAACATCAACACCAACGACAGCCATTGTAAGATTGATCGCTCGCATTTGCCCGCGTGCAATTCAACTCATATACCCCAAACCCTCGATACCTTCCTTCTTCGTCTTCGACCGTACCCCCTTAGGAGTATACTTTTACGTGCAACGTGTATTCAGGCGGTTTGCTGAAGCGTACGTCGTGCAAGAATCGTCAGGAAATTTCGAGCGACAGCGCGATTCCCAAATATGTTCATTAGGAAATGGCCGCCAGCCCATTGTCCCGGATGCTACGCTCTAGCATTGCGCGCGCTCTGCAATGCAGGGCGAGGGGTCGACGTTGCTTGGCCGCCGAACAATGCACTTTGCAGAAACAAAACAAGCCTGATCCCTGAGTGTTGAGGGCGCGGCCTCTGAATAATTTGCGAGGAAGTCCCACGCGAGAGCGCGATTCCTGTATGCATTGTGGGGATGGTCCGCGTGAGAGCACGATTTGAGAATACATTGTGCGGAAGTATCAGGCAGGAGCCGCTGTTGTTGTAAACTGGGACCCAGCAGCACAGATAGGTGGCCCTTCATTTCCCTTGGTAGAGCCAGAGTGCGAGCCCCGGAAGAGCAATGGTTACCGGAGGGGAGATCAGCAATATTCTTTATAGAAGTGATAACTCAACAACAACTGCAACAACAACAACATCGTCAGCAACATCAACAACATCATGCGACCCGAATGCTCCATGTTTGTATATGCGTCATGCACCACCCATCATGATAGCTCATCCCTCATGGGGGATATGTCGGTTCTAGCTTCTGCTCCAGCGTGGAGTGGTGATCGTCTTGATGCACGTTTCTGGAAGTGTTGGGGCCTCCGGGGGTGAGGATGCCCCCCAGTCGGGCTGAGTTTCGGCTGAATTTCGGCATCCGTCGGTCCGTTCCAGGCCCCAGGGCATACAGAAGGCGGCAAGGGTCGAAATAAATGCGAAAGGTCAGGGTGGGGTCGAGAGTTCCAACACCCTGCGTCTTAAAAAAAACAGGACGTCGTGTGTCATTGCGATTCTGGACTTTCCGTGCAGATGGCTCGCACTTGAATGCGTATTCGGGGGTTGCTCAGTATTCAAAGTTTTCCCTACCTAGGCTCTGCCTAGAAGGGTTCTTACTCTCTTAGCTTAAAGGGGCCGGGCAGTGCAAAGCGCCCCGGGCGGTTCCCCCAGTCCCGGAGCGGTTCCCCCCAGTCCTTTGGGAGCTTTAGCTTTAGCTTTAGCTTTAGCTTAGCTTCAGCTTAGCTTTAGCTTAGCTTTAGCTTAGCTTTAGCTTAGCGTTTCGCTTAGCTTTTCGCTTAGCGTTTAGCTTAGCTTTAGCTTAGCTTTAGCTTGAGCTTAGCTGTAGCTTAGCTGCAGCTTAGCTTTAGCTTAGCTTTAGCTTAGCTCTAGCTTAGCTCTAGCTTAGCGTTAGCTTAGCTTTAGCTTAGCTTTAGCTTTAGCTCTAGCTTAGCTTGAGCTTAGCTGTTGCTCAGCTTCAGCTTAGCTTTAGCTTAGCTTTAGCTTAGATTTAGCTTAGCTGTAGCTTAGCGTTAGCTTAACTTTAGCTTAGCGGTGGCTTAGCTTTAGCTTAGCTTTAGCTTAGATTTAGCTTAGCTTTAGCTTAGCGTTAGCTTAGCTGTAGCTTAGCTTTAGCTTAACTTTAGCTTAGCGGTGGCTTAGCTTTAGCTTAGCATTAGCTTAGCTTTAGCTTAGCTTTAGCTTAGCGTTAGCTTAGCTGTAGCTTAGCGTTGTCTTAGCTGTTGCTCAGCTTTAGCTCAGCTTTAGCTTAGCTTTAGCTTAGCTTTAGCTTAGCTTTAGCTTAGCTTTAGCTTAGCTTTAGCTTAGCTTTAGCTTAGCTTTAGCTTAGCTTTAGCTTAACTTCAGCTTAGCTGTGGTTTAGCTTTAGCTTAGCTTTAGCTTAGCTTTAGCTTAGCGTTACTGTTACTACTAATGCTGTTTTCCTAGGGGTTCCAACTCCTAGGTAGAGTCGCACTGGGATAATTAATGATCACTCAAGTGTTTTCTCACCCCCCTCATTTTAGGTGCACGGGCTTCTTTGCGCATCCAACCACTCTTGCACAGTCGCCGCTACGTTGTGGCGGGCGCGTGTTCGTGTTGCAGAAGCGCATTGTTTCCCAGATTCCAATCGCAGCTATTTTGGGGTTCCAGCTTTGTTTGCTCCAGGCTGAACTGTCAGTAGAGAGGCGACCCCTCTCTGAGCAGAGTTTTGCCTTCAACTCGTGGCAATGGGGACCGCGGCCTCTCTTGGAGTGAGAACCGCAGTGGACTCCGCGAGCACCGCAGAGCTGACAGCCGCCCTCGCCCAGTTGGCCGCAGAGGACAAAGCCAAGCTCACCGCCGCCCTGGCCGCAGCGGACACCAAGATCGAGGCCAAGGGAAAGAGCGCCGCCGACCCTGGCGATGACCAGAAAGACGCGATCAAGGCCTGCGCGGATGCACTGGCGGCACTCCTGGGCGAAGAGGAGGCCGCGAAGAAGGCTTGCGTTGGCGCGCTGGAGGGCTCCCTGGTCGGCGGTGAGGAGGATCCGGTCAAGGCCTGCGCCAAGGCGTTGGAGGCTGCCCTCGGCGGCGGAGAGAAAGAGAAGGCTGCGATCAACGAGTGCGCGAGTGCACTCCAGGCTGCCCTGGGCGCCGCGAAGGAGAGCGAGGGCAAAGGCAGCGCTGCCGCACCAGAGAGTGCACGGAAGGCCTGTGCGGGTGCGTAGATGCTCTTCGGGAGGTCTTCGCTTCAGGACATGACATCGGCTTCGAGTGCCTGCGAGTGACTCGTGTCCAGAGTCGGTGGCCGAGTAGGGGGACCGTTTGTCCCGCGTTCGCACCCACTCCGTTCACGCAGCTTCTGCTTGTGCCTCGGCTGCAGGCTGTCTTCCGCGCTTGCGAAGCCCGCCTTTGCTTTGGCACGCAGGCATTGGAGCGCATCATATCCGGAAGTGCTTCGCCCCCTGCCGCCGGCCCCCTCTCTATCATAATGGGATATCTCAGAGTCGCGTCGGTGTGCGTCTCGGCGCTGCCTTGGCGCATCTGGGAACATCATGCGGAGGCGGATAGGAGTCATCAGCGCATATTGAGACGCTGGCGTTATCCTAGTGGCCTTCGCCCATCCCGCCACCCTGCCTGGCTTGTGGGTCCCAGGCATCTTGTAGATGTGCCTGGGTGTCGTGGGGAGCCTCCCGGGGCCTCTTGGAGGCGGTTTGAGCGCCTCTTGGGAGCCTCCTGGGGCCTCATGGGGTATCTTCTGCGCGTCGTGGAGGTCTCCTGCGGCCTCCCGGGGGCACGAGTATCGATTGCTCGGCTCGTGGTCCTCTGCTTGGGCCCCCCTCGGGGCCGTCCTTGAGCTGTCTTGAGCGCTTCTTGGGCCATCCGGGGCGCCCTCCTGGGCCGTCTTTGGGTCCTCTTGGAGGAGCCTTGGGGTGTCTTAGGGATGGTCTCGGGAGCTTCTTGAGCCGTCTTGGAGCGTCGGAGAGTCGAAACTGCGAGAAAGCTTAAATCTTTAGACAACCTTCATACAGTCTTTGATGTTGGCCTCTTGGGGCTCTCTCTGGAGGCCTTCTGAAGCGCTCTTGGGGCCTCTTTGGGCCATCCTTGGGCCATCTTGGAGCGGTCTCGGCCTCGGCAATTCGAATACAGTGTAATATGCGAAGATTGGTGGCTTCGGTGACGCGGAGGCATAATTCACTAGGGTTTGTTGTCGCGGGGACGCAAGACTTGTGTACCTTACGAGGGTGTGCGGTCTCGGGGCCGCGAACATTGAGTAATCTACAGGGGATTGTGGCTTCGAGGGCGCGAATTTCACGCATGTTTACGTGCCCCACGCCCCCGCGCGCACTCGGAGAACGCGACTCGGGCGTGGTAACCAGGCGGTTTGGGTCCCCCTCGCGCGGATTTCAACAATTTACAATAGGAAGCAGACAGCAGGACTGTAACATTGGATACTTGAAACTGCAACTGGTGCGCGAAGCAGCACACTTCGCCGTACAGCCTGGTGGCCCCACAAGGGAGCCGGCTGATTAGAAGGAGCAGCGCAAGGCGCTTGCAAGTTCGATTGGAACCCCGCAGTGCGGCTCGTGTTGCTCTCGCTGCCGTTGTGTTGAGCTTCCACATCGGAGCTCTGATACATTTTGAAGCGCTCGTTCTGGTGAGTTCTAATAGAGAGCTAGCCAGGCTATAGACACAAGCGGCCAGACACTGATCTGCTAGCATGAAAAGCATCACGCGTCGACCGGACGCCCGCGCGATCCTCCGTCCACGAGTCCACCCCCGATCGCAGAGCTTGCTACGAGCGTGGCCGCGCGACCCCGAGGTGTTCCCTCGACCATCCTGGGTAGGAGGAGGAGGAGGAGGAGGAGGAGGAGGAGGAAGAGGAGGAAGAGGGGGAGGCGGGAGAGGAGAAGGAGGAAGAGGAGGAGGGGGAGAGTCCCAGCGAGGCTTCCAAGGCTCGTCCTGGGGGGTGCCCGCTCGGCTGCCGAAGCGGCTCGACCTTCAGCCCACTCGGCGGCCGAGCGTAGGTGGTGGCAAAGAGGGGGGAGATGACTAGAGATCGGAGGAGGAAAAGGTACCCATACCTCTGCCCTTCGGCCGCTTTCCCCTTTTTGGGCCTCCTGGGAGGCCCTCGCCGCCACCGCCGGGTTCGCCTTGAGTTCCTTTCAGAACGCACCCCGGGAGAGGCTGGGGGAGTAGCGGTATCGGTGCTTTTTGGATTCCCCAAGGGGGGGGGGATATCATGGCGGGGTCCATGATATCTCCCCAAATTTCACGGCGCTCCTTCTTAATTCAATGCGTCCCTATCCCCGCTGGGCCACACACATGCCGCCGGCCATGATTGGCGCCCCCCCATCTTGGACGCCCCCCTCTTGGCCGCCCCCGAGAATGGCCTCAGGCGCCGAACGAGCTCAGAAGGGAGATTAGGTCACCCCCAGGTTATCAAGGTAGTCGCGCTTCGCGCGCGGCGCTGCTTTGGCCTGAGGGCCGCCCTTCGCCAAGGTGGCGGCGCGGGGGCGCGAAGGTGGCCCTCGCGCCGCGCATCGCGGGGCGCGACCCGCCAAACCGGGTGACCTGGGGGAGCCCGAGGGGACCCCGGGACCGCCCGAGCGTCCCAGCACCCCATGCTGTCCAGAGACTGGTGATACAATGGTGGCCCCCCAGAGGCCTCCTCCACCAGGTCCCGAGTGTCATCACACCGCCGTCCAATAGTGTGTGTGCTTTAATTCCCCCCGATTGGAATAGATCCGCCAGACACGCACGATTTGATTGATAGCTCTATGTACATGTATACATCTATAGATGTGCAAGCATCTACAGATGCATAACATCGAGTTCAAGACCATGGAAATCCATTGTGTGCTTTGACGGGTTTATGTTAAACTGCTTGAATCAGGGTATGTTTTTCGACCCTGACGTCGCGATATGCGTAAGGGGTGCATCCGATGTTCAATTTTGAGAGAGTCCCGAACGAAACGGCCAGAAAAGGAAGCGCGGCATCACAATCAATTGCCTATGCCTTCTACTCCCTCGGTGAGGTGCGCATGATAATATTTATTTATATATATATATATACACACACGTAAATGTACACATATTAGTACACACGCATAGAATAGAGGCCTCTGGCCTATGGGGAGCCTCTGGGGCCACTCTTGGGGCCTCCTGGGAGTTTCCTGGGAGCCTTTTTGAGGCCTCTTGGGGGCCCCCTTTGGCCTCTTTGGGGCAGTTTGGAGCTTCGTGGGGGCTCGTGTGGCTGTCTCACGGCGGTCCTGGCCCGTCTGACGCCGTCGGAGGCCGTCTTGGATGTTTCTCTGAACCGAATTGGGACCATATTGCAGGTTCTTCACGGCCGTCTTGGAGGTCATTTGGGGCGTCGTCTTGGGCCGTCTTGGCGCCCTCTTGGAGCCATTCTGGAGGCTTCCGAAACCGTCATCGGGTCATTTTGGAGGCGTTTGGGGTCATCTTATGGCGATCTTGGGGGCCCCTGAGACCGTCTCGGGCCGTCGGAAGGCCGACTAGGAGCAACGACCAATTCGTTAGAAAAATGATGGAGCAACTATCAGGTCGGCCTCTTTGGGCAGTCCTTGAAGACCCCTTGGAGGCCTCCTGGGCCATCTTCGGGGTCTGTTGGGCGCTTCCGAGGCCGTGTTGGGTTATCTTGGATCATCTCGGTGGGGTCTTGGAGGCACGTTGGGACCGTCTTGGAGGCCATCTTGGGGCTATCTTGGGCCCTCATGGGGTCATCTTGGCCGCCTTGGAGGCACATGTGCCGTCTTGGAGGTCATCGTGAGGCCATCTTGAGTGCAAACGTCGACGAGACACGCACCCCAGCGCAATGGACCGAAGCCCCCGAGGGTTTTTTGAAGTAACCAAAACCACTTGAACCTGAGCACGCCATGCGCTCCTGTGGAGAGACCGCCGGGGTCGGCGGATTGAAGACGCCTACGGCGAATCACCGCCGCCCTCTGCCGTTCAGGACACGTCTATGTGGCCCAAGGTTTGGCCTAGTTCGGTCACGCTATTGGGTCATGCGTTTCCCAAGCCGTTATGGACGCCGTTCGGGGAACATGTGGGGGAGGAACTGGACCATGAGGAGAGGGAGGAACGCGGAGCATGAGGACAAGAATATTGAGACAGTTTGAGAGTTTCTTGGGTCATTCTTGGGGCCTCCTGGGAGCTTCTGCAGGCCTATTGGGGGCCTCCTTGGGCCTCTTGGGTGCCTTTGGGGCTTCTTGGGAGCCCTGTTGGCTGTCGTACGGTGGGCCTGGCTCGTCTGACACCGTCGGAAGCCGTCTTGGGAGCTTCTCTGGGCCCTCTTGTGGGGCGCTTCAGGGTCGTCGTGGAGCTTATCTTGCCTCTTGGGATCTTGGGTCAAACTTGGTGGCGTCTTGGGCCGTCTTGGGCCATCGGACGCCCATTTTGAAGTAAATGCCAGAATTCCTGAAAAGACCGAGGGAGCATCAATCATTGTAGCATCTTCGGGCCTTCCTGGAGGATCTCTTGGAGGCCTCTTGGGCCGACTTACGGGCCTCTTGGCCGCCTCTTGGGCCTTGCTGTGTTGTCTTGGACCACCTTGGCGGTCTTGGAGGCATCTTGGGACCGTCTTGGAGGCCGTTTTGGAGCTAGCTTGGATTCTATGGGGGCAGTCTTGACCGTCTTGGAGGCATGCTGGAGGTTGGAGGGTGAAGGAAGGGGTCTGTAACAAGGGGTCTTCAATGAGGGCTGAATAGCCCATGTATGCTCAATGTATCGTTCTCATGTATGTGATCGGGTATGATTGGCATCCAATATTGGCGGTCATGGAGGGCCACGCGTTCATGCCCACGCGTTGCCCGCGCGGGCAGACGCGCCGTCAATCCGTTATCGTTCATGCGTGCGGGCGTTCTTGCATATCGCGCGTGAGGCGGCGAGGTGGAGTGCAAGTGTGTCTTGATTGTGCGACGTATGTTCCCAAACGATGACTTGTCGACCCCCAAGACACATTTGGAACGGGTCCCGCGATTCTCTCAAACTGTGAATTCACATGTCGTTTTTTTCCAGCATGTGAATTCAAATTTCTATTGTTCCCAAAATGAGAATTCACATTCTGGCTCTTTCATTGATATTCCCATGCAGTATTCGAAAATGTGAATCATCATCTTCCTTTCTTCCAACATGTGAACTCACATTTTCCTTTTTTCCCCAACATGTAAATTCACATGTTACTTGTCTCCACAATGTGAATTTTCATGTTGCCCTGGCCTTCAAGATCCCCCAAACTGCGGCGCAGTGTTCAGATCCCCTCAAGATCCCCCACACCTCACTGCATTCGTTTACTCATGTTTTTTCTTTTTGCGCCCTGCCTTCGTCGCCTTTCTCGAGCCTCCTGCCTCCGTGCTTCGTTCACCCTCAACTCTCGCGCATGGGTGCAGGCGGGGCGCTTCAAGTGGTTCCCCCGCCGAACACAGCAATCGAGGACGCGTCACACAGATATTGCCCATAGAGACGCCATTGCTGGGACCTTGCGCCCGACCCCCACTTTCACTTTCCAAGGAGGCCATCCATGGGCCGCACAACGACGACCCGGAGATTGCCCAGGTGGCCGGCGCAATGGGCCGCAGCCCCAGGGGGAGTTCTAGAAAGAATTAAAAACCATCAGACGTTCAGCACGCTGGGCACCCCTGTGACGTATCAACAGGGGGCGGCGGCGGATTTGTGGCCTTACCGCGCCTGGGTTGGGTCCGAGCCTTTTCGAGGTTCGCTGCGATCTCGTGGAAGCTTCTCGGGGGCTTCGGGGTAGTTGTGAAGCCTCTTCGGGGGCTGCTTGGGAGCCTCTGTTGGGGTTATTGGGAGCCTCCTGTGGCCTCCCGGGGGCCTGCCAGAAGCCCCTTGGAACCTCTCGGGGGCCTCTTGGGGCTTCCTGGGGGCCTCTTGGGGCGGAAGCTTCGAATCATCGGTTCATGTTCCCCCTCTCGGGGATCTCGTGAGCCTTCTATGGCGCCTCTTGAGCCGTTTCTGGGCCATCTTAGGCTGTCGCGGAGCCTATTTGGGAGCCTCTGGGGTTGTCTTGGGGCGGTGTTGTGGGCCTTTTTGGTCCGTCTTGGAGCGTCGGACGTTTGAAAATGCGAGAACCTCAAACCATAGAAAACCGAAAGGAAATCAACAATGTTTGCCTCTCGGGGCTCTCTTGGGGGTCCTCTTGGAGTGCTCTTGGGGGCATCTTGGGGGCCTCTTGGTCCGTCTTGGGGTCATCTTGGGCATGTAGGAGCTCTCGTGGACTGCCTTGGCGGTCTTGGCGACGTTGCCCCCCCCCGGCTTTTCCCCCTTGCCAGGCCCAGCCGCCCCCGCACCGTTTCTCCTGTGGCGCGGGACCAGCCACAGAAACTCCCTCTAGGCCTCCTAGAAGGGGTCGGAGTAGGTTTGGTCGGAGGATCGCGCCGCATCGCCGATGCATCGCCGATGCGGCTCGATGCGGAGCCCCATTGTCTCCACGCCGACGTCGCCGATGCATCGCCGACGTCGACGATGCATCGCCGGTGCATCACCGATGCATCGCCGATGCATCGGCGATGTATCGGCGATGCGGCGCGATCCTCCGACCCCATCTATTCCGACCCCATCTGGGAGGCCTCTAATCTCCCCCCCCCCAGCGGCCCGGGAAATGGTAGAACCTTCACCCTTCCTCCTTTCCTTGGCAGAGTTACCCCGCCCCCCCCCCCATTCCCCGGGAGACCTGAAGCTCAGGCTGTAGCCTTTCAAAAGATCGGCGGATTGGACCAGGGCTATGGCCGTTGGCGCCCAGGCTGTCTGGTGGGAGAGGGCCATGTCTTGTCTTCCCCCGATGCTGGTCATCCTGCCTCTCCTGCCCCGTGCGGCATGCTGCCTGATGCATCGCATCCGCTACAGTGGCGCGACCTTGTCAAACTGATGGAGCATGCGCAGCGTAACATGCAGTCATACTACAGCTTACTCGTTCTGGCTGTTCGACTACACCTCGGACCATTACAGGGCGCATGGAACGGAAGGAGAGCAGAAGCAGCAGTAGGAATATAATGTCACAGCTTTTGGAGAGGCGCAGATTCTCGGAGGCAGTATCGGCCCTCCCCAGAGCCCACATGTGGCCGTTACAAGCTTGTTTGGGGTCGGGGATGGTGTTACTTTGTCGGTCTGCACCTCCGCGCGCTGAATCCTCATCCCCCCATTTCCCCTTCCGTCAGGATCCACTCGAGTTGATGGCCTTTGACGAGGTGCGAACTTATGGCGACCAGGGGGGGAGGGGGGGGGGCAGAACATGTTCAGTCAGTGGGGTTTGTCGGTTTCTTGGGCCATCGGGAGTCTCTTGAGGACTGCGTGGGCCCCTTCGAAGATGTGTGCAGTGCATATTGTGACCATTTTGAGTCAACATGTCAGGCCAAACGTGAAAGCAAAATGAGACCGAACAGACAACCGTGACGGCTTGCTTGTACAATCGGTTCTAAGTTCCCGAGGGGTGTTTCAATTCTTAACGCTTCGCGTATCCCCACCAGCGTTCACTCGACCCTGTGCTCGAGACGTGGATTGCCCTGGTTGGTCAGCCCTCAGACGTCGGCGTTCCTACTCGAGTGTGCGCGTGGCTTTACCTGATCCGTGGTTCAGGCGTGTTACGGTGTCGATTACATCCATCGTTGTCCTGGCTACTTCGAACGTCCTACCAGGGGGTCCATCCCGTGGTCGGTCGTTTGGAGGATCAGTACTCCCTTCAGGAGGTTTGGTGTGCGACTTTGGTGGCGCCACCCTACGCACCAGCTTCAGGCCACCATGGCAGCTGACGCAGTGTACTGCCTGGTTGCCTCCCTGGCCACATCCTGGTACGACCCCCGTGCCATTTCGGCTGCGTCCCAACCCTGGTTGGCTAATTCGCATACCTGGTGATTCAGCTCCCATGGTACTCGCACGTTTGCAGCTCCCTGGCAGCCCCAGCAGCTTGCAGTCCCCACCCCCGGCGCTGCTGCACAGCTTCGGCGCAGCCGCTTCCCCCGGCGGTAGGTCCTGCTTAGCTCCGCGCGCGCGCCGGCAACTAGTTCCGCTCGTTGCCCGAGCCGACTCGACTCGCCGCTGGCGCCTTCGCCTGCGGTTGCGACGAACAAAAACCCCCACCAGCCCGAGCTGCACGACTTCGTGCGGGACACGGTCGAGCAGCACCACGCTGGCCAGCACCACGGTGAGCAGCGGCATGACGATGGCGGACACGACAGGGGCATTCAATACCACGCTGCCCGGGACGAGGTTTCTGACGTCCAGTACGAGCGGCTCCAACAGCACGACGGCCTGCTCGGGCGGGACCGGCCGCACAACTGCATTGCCCACCACCGCGGCCTCCAGTGCATTTTGTCTAGCAGGATGTCTCAGGCAATCAGCATTGCGCCCTCGAGCAGCACGGCCATGTACAGCACGGTCTCGAGCAACGCGACGTCCACAGCCACCTCCTCGGCGAGATCCACGACGACAATGAGCAACAGCGTGTACGAGGTTGAAACGAGCAGCACAAGTCGAGCAGTGCGTGTTCGAGTGCGACACCATCGAGCAGCACCATGCCAGCCATCATACGATGAGCAGCGGCATGTCGCTGGCGGAGACGACAAGGTCACGCAACACCACCGACGAGGTCATTCAATACCACGCTGGCCGAGACGAGTTTTCGACGGCGAGTCCGAGCGGCACCAGTGGCACGACGGCCCGCTCGAGCGTGACCAGCAGCTCAACTGCTCGTCCACCACCTTGACTTCCCGTGCATCGCTGTTTCGCAGTACGCCGCAGCTGACCAGCACTGCGACCTCGAGCAGCACGGTCACGACCAGTACGACCTCGAGCAGCGCGACGTCCACGGTCGTTTCCACAACGACATTGAGCAGCCGCTCGTGCGTGGCCGTGACGAGCAGCGCGGTTGCGCCGCAAGACATCGAGTGCAACACTATCAAGCAGCCCCACGCCGGCCAGCACCTCAGGCGAGCCGCGGTACGACGCTGACAGATACGCCAGGGTCATTCAATACCGCGGTAACCGCGACGAGTACTCCGACGAAGCGGCACCACCAGCACGACGGCGAATTGGAACGAGACCAGCTGCACATCTGCATCGTCCACCATCTGGACCTCCAGTGCCCCGCTGTCTAACAGTACGTCATCTGACGACCAGCAGTGCGACCTCGAGCAAGACCAGTACAGTGCGATCAGCGGGCGCCCACGGCCACTCCCACGGTGGGCTCCACGTCGACACCGTGCATCAAAGTGGGCAGGGTCGAGACGAGCTGCGCAACGTCGAGTAGGCCGATTTCGAGCCCGACACAGTCGAGCAGCACCGCGCCAGTCGGCACTACGGCGGGCAGCGGCACGACGCTGATGGATGCGTCAGGGTCATTCAATACCACTGTGAACGATGCGCGTTCTCGACAGCTCGTACGAGCGGCGCCAGCAGCACGACGGCTAGCGCGAGCGTGGCCAGCAGGACAACTGCAACGTCCGCAGCTTGGCTTCCAGTGCATCGTTGTTTCGCAGTGCGTCTCAGATGACCAACGGAGCGACGTCGAGCGGCCCCGTCCTGCCAGAACCACGATGGGCAGTGGCACGACGCTGACAGTCTCGGAAAGGTCTTCAATACCACGCTGACCGAGACGAGCCCTTCGACGGCTAGCACGAGCGGTGCTGGCAGTATGACGACCAGCTCGAGCGTGGCCAGCAGCGCATGTGCATCTTCTACCACCTTGACTTTCAGTGCTTGACTGTCCTGCAGTAAGTCTCAGGCGACCAGCAGTGCGACCTCGAGCAGCACGGTCGCGACCAGTGCGGCCTCGACCAGTGCGTCGTCCACGGCCACCTCCACGGTGGGCTCTACGACGACTTCGAGCAGCAGCGTGGGTCAGCAATATCACCGACAAGGTCATTCAGACCACGCTGGCCGAGACGAGTTTCTCTACGGCTAGTCCGAGCGGCACCAGCGGCGCGGCGACCAGCCCGTGCCTGACCAGCAACGCAACTGCATCGTCCACCACCTCGACTCCCAGTGCACCGTTGTCTCGCAGTACGCCTCAGCTGACCAGCATTGCGACCTCGAGCAGCACGGTCAAAACCAGTGCGATCTCGAGCAGCGCGACGTCCACGGCCACTTCCACAACTACATCGAGCAGCCGCGCGAGCGTGGTCGCGACGAGCAGCGCAGCTGCGAGCTGCACGACCTCGATTGCGTCACTATCGAGCAGCACCACGCCGGTCAACACCAAGGTGAGCCGCGGCACGACGTTGACAGGCACGTCAGGGTCATTCAATGCCACGGTGACCGAGATGAGTACTCGGATGGTTTGCACGAGCGGCACCAGCAGCGCGACGGCTAGCTCGAACTAGACCGCTGCACATCCGCGTAATTCACCACCTGGTCTTCCAGTGCCCCATTGTCTTGCAGTATGTCTCCGACGACCAGCAGTGCGACCTCGAGCAACGCGGTCAAGACCAGTGCGGTTTCGAGCAGAGTGGCGCCCACGGCCACTTCGACGGCGGGCTCCACATCGTTTTTTTTTTGCAGCAACGCGCGCGTGGTCGAGTCGAGCTGCGCAACCTCGAGTAGCACAAATACGAGCGCAACACAGTTGTGCAGCACTACGTCGCGCCAGCACTGCGGATGGCAGTGGCGTGACGCTGGCGGATGCGGCAGGGGCATTCAATTCCAGTGCTTCGTTGAATTTCTAGCATGGCCACGACCAGTACGGTCTCGAACAGCGCAATGTCCACGGCCACCTCCACGGCGAGCTCCACGTCGACATCGAGCTCTAGCATGGGCGCTGCCGAGTCGGGCAGCGCAACGTCGAGCAGCGCGACCTCGAGCGCGACGCAGTCGAGCAGCCCCGTCCGGCCAGCACACGGCGGACAGTGGCGTGACGTCGACGATTCGACAAGTTCTTCCCGTACTACGCTGTCCGCGACGCGTTCTTCGACGGCCAGTGCGAATGGCACCGGCAGCGCGACGACCAGCTCGAGCGTGGCCAGTAGCAGAACTGCATCTTCCCCCACCTTGGGTTCCAGTGTTTCGTTGTCTTGCAGTACTTCCCAGACGACCTGCAGCGCGACCTTGGCCCCCCCCCCAGGTCTCCCCCTGGCCGCAGGTGTTCCCCGGCAGCGCTCTGCCCCCCCCCATCGGGCCTTGCGGAGACTCCAGAGTCCCTCCTGCGCAGGCCACTGGCCTACGCGGGCGGCGGGGATGGACAACGCCCGCGTGCATCTGCCCGATCGATCTGGCTCGGATCCTTTACGCGCTTCTGCAGCTGTTAGCTGCGCCGCTAAGGTCTCCTCCACGGGCTGGCAGTCGGGCCCCGTTCAATCCCCCTCGAGCGACGCCCCCATCCAGCCGGGCACCAGTACGTCACGCCACCCTGCGGCTGTTTGCTGCCCCCCCGCCGGGCTTCGGCAGACCAGCGCGCGGGGGCCCCTTGCGGCGGCTCTCCAGCACGCCGCCCGGCTGGGGCGGGCTTGGCGACCCTCCCGCTTCTCGAGACGGCGGAACGCGGCGAGTTGTTGGCTGGCCCCGCCCGCAGGTCTCCCCCATGCCTCAGGAGGGCCCCCCCCCGGAGCTCAGCCCCCCCCCCCCCCCCCCCCTCGGGCCCCGCTGAGGCCCCAGAGCCCCCCCCCCAGCAGGCCACAGTACTACGCGGGCGAATGAGATGGAGGACGCCCGCGCGCTGCGGCCTGGCATCGGCTTCAACGTGTCTGCGGCTGTTAGCTGCGACCCCACCCGCGGCGCGGATTGCCCTTCAGCGCTCCCACCGGGGCGCTTGTGCCGGGAGATTTCTCGCACCTCTGCGGCCTCTGCGCCCCCCCCGGGGCGCGGGGGCCAGCTGGCAATTGAACGTCCTGGATCGATTGCCCCGCCCCCCCCTGCGGCTGCCCCCCCGCAGGAGGCGCGCGGGGCCGCCCTTGACCCAGCATTTTTTCTGCTGTTCGCTGCGACCCCACCCTCAGCACGGCCCTGGCCCTCAGCGTTCCCTTCGGGGCGCGTGCGCCAGGAGATTTATCGATCCATATTCCGAGCTGTCTGGCCCGTCCATCGTCCTGCGGCTGTCCCCCCGCAGGAGGCGCATGGTCTCGTCGCCGCTGTTCCCGCGGCCGTTTGCTGCGTTTGACGGCGCGCCTCGCCGATCGGGGTTCCTTGGATGCAGAGGTCTGGCGGCGCTTATTTGGAGGTCGCCCGCCTACGCGGTGTTGTTTCGCAGTATAGTTCTTGACGACGGCGGCGCT